TCTAGGTCCGGATCACTTGACAAGAGAACAGTTGCTCGGGCACAATACTGTCTTTTCAGAAGCATTTTTTGGAGATAAAGCCACTGCCATATTAGATGGCACCTATATTTATATCCAGAAAAGCTCCGACCACAAGCTCCAGAGAATGTCCTACTGTGGCCAGAAGAAGAGAAACTATCTCAAATTCATGAGCATCGCCTTACCAGATGGCTACATTCTGGACACAGTAGGACCATTCACTGGCAGCGAAAATGATGCTACAATTACAAAAAAAGTCATGGACAAGCTAGTTACTTGGCTACAACCAGACGACAACGTTGTCGTTGACCGAGGTTTTAGAGATGTCCTACCAGTTCTCGAAGCCTCTGGCCTCAATGCTAGCATGCCGTCATACCTGAAACCCGGTCAAAGTCAACATTCTGACGTCCAAGCAAATCTTGACAGAACTATCACCAAATCGAGGTGGATTGTGGAATCCTATCATGGTCGTCTGAAACACTGGACGTTCTTCCGAACGCAATTGGTGTCTAACAGCTTTATCAATGTCATCGAGGCTTTGCTTCGAACCGTCACAGCCTGTCTGAATGGTATTAGAGGACCGATCTACCAGAGATCTCCAGAGAGAGATGCCAAAGATAGGCTAATGGCTGAACGTATGAAGGACCGTTTGACAACACCGAATGGTTTAGCTCAGAGAGTCAAGACAGATCCGGATCTATCTAGACGGGCAAGGTCCGAGTTTGTCAAGATGGATGCATCTTCCGTACTGTTTCCCCGTCTCGATCTTGATTACTTGAGAACCATTACGTGTGGAACGTATCAGATATCTCTGGCTCCTGGTTACATCGCCGAACATTTAAGTGATGACGGAGACTATGAGGTGTGGCTTTACCAGCACTCCCCAGACCTTCTCCGATGTCAAATACATTCTCGACACAAAAGCCAAACGAAATATAACGTTTGGATACGGTTCACCGTTTCACCCGATGTTGAGGCCCCAATAAAGGACTACTACTGCCAGTGCCCAGTTGGAGAGAGAACGATGGGAATGTGTGCGCACATCTCCAGTATCTTGTACTACCTTGGGTATTACAGGACGCTGGAAAACCCTCGACCATTACAACCACAGGTAAAGAAATTCCGACAAAACTTGAAATAGTTTTCCATGCGGCAACGGAGTGCATATGTCGAAAGTATGTTTGGGGCTCGATATGAAAGATCCCCGTTACCATGTGACTAACCAAACTTATAAATATAGGTATTATACAATCGCCCGTAGCTATGAACACTCCCGTAAATGCGAAAACCAACCAAAATCATAAGGAACACGTTTTGTTTGTTGTTCTGTCTATTTGTCAGCCAATGTCTTCAACCACGGGGACTTGTGAAGTAGCCATCTTGGATTTTTTTTATGAAAAAGTGTTTCTCTCACTTTTTTTCATATCTGTGTACATATTCTCAACATACCGAGCAAATACTCTCGTTTTTTTGTTAATTATCTAAAGAAAGTCGAAAATCGGCAATTCAACCATAGGCTAATTCAACCCAACATTTGAAAATGTTCCACCACTTACATTTTGATGATTTTTCCTCTCATCAATAGCATATTACGTACTGTTTAATAGGATAAAAATTGGTTTGCATCCAACGCCCATAAAAGGGTGTATTCTCTAAAAAACACAGTTTTTGTGTCTAAAATGTTATCATCGAAAATGGCATTTTTGAGATTGTTTCTTCCATAAAACAGCCAAATGGCGCGATGGAAACATGATTTTTTGTCACAATCATGCCATGAATGTATTCTTTACGGTGACCATCATTTGATTAGATTTTCATTAATATTTTACATAACATGCACATTTTATCAACACTTAGACAGCTTCTGAAAGGTACAACTTTGAGGAGCCATAAAAAACAAACCAAGTGACCTAAATCTTTATACTTTATCGATTTGTGACTACAACGGCATGGGCAATGCACCACCAACAGGAAATTTGAATCAGAGAAGGGGCCGTTTTGGAAACCGGCCCTTTAACATCTTTGGACTTCAAACTTGCAATAGTTTGTCTTGATTTCGATGAAACACGATTAAAAGAGGAATTGTGTAGCTTCCCAACTCGTTGTGAACTTATCTATATCTTCGGCAGATACCTCAATATTCACCTTCATACACATATCCACTTGTGTCATTTTAGTGTTCTCTGTAGATTGGGGTTGTTCACCAGTTTTGGGAGAAGGAAACAATGGCGGTTCGGGTATGCCCGAAAACCTTAACAAAGAGCGGCGACCATACTGATTCATCGCATCTATAGATAACCGCAGATCATGGTTTTCAGCACGCAACTCGGCGAGTTCGTTCTTTAAATGTTAAACCTGTTGCTGAATCATGAAGCTAAGCTGATGACGCATCATTTCAAAAACTGATGTCGCGATTCTTTGAGTGTCGTGTTCGGACAACGACACTGTGTTGCAGCCAGCATTATGCTTCTTTGGGTTAAACTTAAGCAGCCAACTTGTGTTGCTTCAATGTGTTAGCGCATCCAAATATGGACGGTTACTGTGCCTGTCTTGTGTTTGATTATTTCAAAAATGGTGGTGTCAGACTTGACTGTGTCCGGTAGATCATGTATGCATGATAAAAAAAAAGAGAACTGATCCTTACTGATGATATACCAGAAGTAACGGGCAACCAATCTAAATTATCGTTGTTCTAGCTTACTTGGTGTGTTCTGTTGTTTATTTATTTATCATAATCAACTCATTTGGTATTTGTATTTCAAACTTAAATAATTATATGATGAAATATGTGTTTTGCAGTTTTTTGTACATGCATGTGGATCAAATTAAAGACATTTCTTTTTCAGTTGTAGATGATGTCTTACAAATGCCCTTTTTGACGTAAAATAAACATTCGATATGATGGAGTTTTAGTAGTTAGTGGTTGTTTACTGAAATAAACTCATTTTTTACTCTGCCTCTTTTTTGATGGTTCACACTTCAAACCTGTATGCTGTATAACAAGTTTTAAGACATGGTGTGGAAAATTATCTTTTTAAATATCCCTGGGAGTAAAATATTATCCTTTTCTAGATAGGTATATCATCATACATCATTAACATTATCATCACTTCCAACAGTTGTATATAATCTATGAAATAGGACTACCGTGATTTTTTGGCTGAAGTCAAAATGAGTTATCGCTATGAGTAATTATGATGTCCGTCATAGCAACGGCGTTGGAAGATGGCGTCTTCCTTAGCAACGACGTTTTGGTTATGCCAAGATGGCGTCACTTACTGTATGATTGGTATTTACTGTGGTGATGATAGCGGTAAACGAAGTCTTGTTAACAGTAAATGATTCTGCCCTTAGTATTAAAAATACGTGGCCCCTGTTTACAAACTTTAGGTAAAGGGAACCAACAAGTATGTAATTGTTGCAAATTAATGTATTATTGGAAAATCCATTACATGTATACTTTGTAGAGCATTATGGAAAGGGCGGTTATAAGTTGTGCCCAATCCTTTTGTTATTATATTGCAATAAAATATGTTTAAACTTAAACATTTATTAGATGTTACGCTTCTGAATAATTTGACAAGGGAAGTAACTCTAAGCCAGAAAAACTGCATATGGTTGCTTCATGTTTTACATAGAAGGTAGAATAATCCAAGTTACACGAATGGAACTCTTCTGCGTTATTAAATAAAATCGATGCAGTGGTACCCTCTACCTTAACACATGTTCAATATCTGGCACTGTTAAAACATCCATACATCGAATAGCAGATTATGTGTATGGGTTTTTTGGGGTTTTTTTTTGGTTTTGTTTACGGCCCATCAACAACGTGAGTCATTTAGGGTTAGACAACACTGTAAAAAGAGACATTCACAAAAATGAACACATCAAACTAGAAATAAAAAAGAGTTGGTTTTTTTAACTGTTTTACAGTTTTCTGTAAAATGTAAAAACTGTTTTACAGTTTTCTGTAAAATGTAAATGTAAAAAAAATATCAACGAAGAACAAATCAGTGTTTGTAAAATAGATCATATCTTATTATAAAGATTAACCTGAGTGTAAATAATTATATATTTATTGCATAGAAACTGTATCAAATAAACTTTGCATATGTCTTGCGTTATACGAATCTGTCACGTTTAATTTTAAACCAGAGCATTCAGTCCTAAAATGTTTGACTGAAAATGGCTGACCACATGGATGACAATAAGGTCGGTAAGTAAAATGTAACTATGCGTGACGTAGGAGAATATGTATATATGACCGCTCATGGTGTTGGGATCTACCGTTTCATTCTATCAGTTAGATTACAAAAACAAAAACAAACAAAATACATTGTTTTTTTATAGATACAATAATGAGCTTCAATTATCTTTCAAAATCATATTTATTGTGCGTTTGACTGAGTTTAAACCAGAACCCAAAATTAAGCATGCTATAATCCTAACCTTGACCTTGTATAGCAAGCCCCTCTGTATATATTGTCGACATTTGCTGTTTGTCCTTTTTTCTGTATTTTAACATACATACTTCAAAGACATACGGTGCACACTAAAATCTTTACAGAATACAAAACTCATTTACAAATATCTATATTGTAATTTCCTAATATGACAATGCATAACTATAATTTCCAAGAATTTCAAAGTGCGATTTGCAGTATTTACTGGAAATGTACGTATCTGGATAGCGTACCAATATTTGGTCATGCTAGATTAAAGAGGAAAATGTGGAAAGCAAAAGCATATTTTCATAACATTTTCTCTTCACTAGTTTAAACTTTAATTACTATAATTTAGAATAAATGTTAATATCCGATGTAATAAAGACATAAGATGATATAACTAATACAAGAAATATAAACTAAAATTTCTGAGAAAAAATACCCTTGTATGGCCTCCCACAAAGCCAGACATTACACGGTAAATGAGAATGTGAACCCATTGGAACCTCAATCAAGTCAGACAGGCGAGCTCTTCAATGTCGGAGATAGATAAATTATTGCAATACACAAACGCCATCTGCAAAGTCGTGAACAAAGAGTTGAGATGACAGATTTTAAAATGCCGTGAACAAGGGAGATACTGACCGCTCGGGGAAATCTTGCCATATCTGAGGTGAGCATTTATAGACAAAAATATCTGCTGGAGGTCATCCATAGTGCCAGAGAATTATTGAAATCCCTTCTGTCGATAGGTCACCGAAAAAATCCCCACCGTCAAAACCGAAAATATGTCAAGTACTTGAAGTGGTCTCACATAAATTAGAGAAGATGTTTTGTGTTTATTTAACTTAAATGGAGGGCAGTATTAATTTCGTTTAGCTAATGCAAACTTTTTGTCTTGCTTGACATTGTAAAAATAGTCAAAACGGAAAGTTCCCGAGCAGGATAAAAAAAAATAGGCATGGAATCCAACCAAGAACGGTAACTCTGTTGTGTATTTTAACTAAAATATTTTGCACATTCCACTGAATTTTTGTATGCGAAACACTTTTCTTTCGTTCAGAAATGTTCAAAGTGAATATAACGTTAAATGCATACAATGATGTGTTGGTCTGGTTTATGTCTGTTCACAAATTTTAGAATTAAGTCGTGTGACTCCTGAACTTCTTCCTTTTAAATGTCCCGGTCTATCAGGGCTCATCATACAAGATACTAGAAGCTTTATTTAGAGTCGCATACATATCAACATGAAACATTAGCTCTTGAGAGCTATTTTTGCGACAAATACAAGTATATAAAATAACAATAACAATAGTATTAGTAGAACAAGTTAATATAAATAGCATAGCCGACATTTTTTCATTACAGAATAATACACGGTAATGTCACATGTAAGTTAGACAATCAATTGCACATTTTTTTTTTAATATTATCACAAGGCTTGACACTTATTTATATGATGTTTTTTATATAAAATTCAGAGGTTTGATACATATTTATGAACGATGTGTTTCTACACTGAATGTTAAAACACTATCTGTAATCTATACAAGTGTATTCATACATGTATGCTAATATAGCAAAAGGTAAAAATTGACATGATGTACCATCTAGTCACCAGTTTCTGCGCGTTATGTATTTCCGTGCAGACATTTTATCAAGCTATATCTCGTAACTACGTGACCTGCTGAACACAACACACAGATATTTTAGACGTTTGGCCATCGTCTGTAAACTGACACAAAAATTACCGGAAGTTAGTCCGGAAAACAAGAAATAATCACTGATTAAAAAAACATGCATAAATATGCTCAAAATGAGCCCATACCTGAAAAAATGGTGATATATTTCATTCATGAACCGGTCTTTTTTCTTGTCTGACAAACGTACAAAAATGTTGTATGCAAATGAGGCCACATTTCCTCAACATTTTTTTCCACTTCCAAAGAGCCAAAGAGACATTCTTATATCGATAAACAATGTTTTCAATGAAACGTAAACCTTGTAATGCAATGAACTTCCAATTTTCACCAATTTTAATCTACAAACTGATAAATAACTTACCATCAACCACAACCGATATAAAACTGCTGAAAAAATATAATAACAGATTCTATATTATAACTAAATAAATATAATAAATAAATTAAAAAAATTACATGATTTCGTTCGATTTGACATCTTGAACAATCTATGAAAAATGTGAAATTTAAAAAGAAATGTTTTGATAATTAATTTGACGATCAAAGATATATTTTTTATTCCAAACGAAGCTTTTGTTCTTGCAGGTCACTGTAGAGAATTTCTTTTTAGTGTATTCAAGTTATCTTTCTTTGAACACTAAATCAAAATAGACACACGGAAACATATGACGGTTTATGTTGCTAGTTTTTTGTTTCCATTAGTAGATTGTATACATGTTTATGACAGTCATCACTCATCCGTAATTTCAACAGTTTTCTGCCGATATGAGTACGAAATCGTGGATGCCTCTTAAGTGCGCGGAAAATGGTAACCCGAGATACACTAACATAGTGTGGATTAAAAAACAGCATTTCATATGGTAAAGAAGATTAAGATTAAGTGAGAAAACTAATAGTAACATAAGTAGTAACTGAAAAATCAGTATTCAAAAAAGAAGCCAAGTGTGAATTTCAGTAGACATTTTTTTTAAACAGTGGCCATACTTTCTCGGCCTCCAAATGTTACGGATAGGCCCATCATTAAAATCATTCAATATTTAATATATTTTGAAGTGCAAAACGATATTGACCAACCCTTAAATTGAAATAAAACGGGAGCACATCACGTCGCGTAACTTGTCCATTTCCGTGTCGTCATTTGGCACCTAATATAATCGACCTTCGAAGACATTCTGCATAACTGCGATGTTAACTAACTTTTCTTGATCACTCGAAATTCTAAAACGTCTAACCACGAAAGCACACAGATACGATATCTCGTTTGAAGTGATCTGAAAGGCCGAAAATCGGCACTTCGACATGGTGTTTCAAGGCAATACTTACACTTTCTAATCAAGCATATCGGACGTATTTGTGTTTACAGTACTGGAAAAGGTAAATGAAGAACATGTACACTGATTTAAATATACTTACCCATGAATTTGTTGGATGCAGTGTTTGAACAAGGCGATCAGATCGCCTTACGGCACCGCCAAATGTTCGTGTGCGAGAGCCCCTATGACTTGTGTGACTCGCTTATCAGACTGTTTTCTCAACGTCAATGGGTCATCCAATTAACCTGACCCCACTGTCCATTAATGTACACGAATTATAACACCTGTGGCCATCTGAAGCTTGATAATTGACTTTACAATTTAGACAAAAGCATTAATTAGCTCGCAGTCGTAGATCTACAGCGAGCGCTGATCTGTGACGGCCCCGATTATGTTTACGCAATCAGTGTCGGCCACTACACACGCGTGAGTAGACAGATCGTTTCTTGGACAAAGATACAGATTTTCCTCATTTTTAAAAACTTAGTAGTCAATTTAGTTACCACATCGTATTTTTAGTAGCCAATAAAAAATAAAAGTAGCCAATGGCTACTTTGGCTACCGACAGCGCAAGCCCTGGACCATGGAAATTTTGCAAAATGGAATTGTAATTTGATTTGAATTGTTATCTTAGCTGGAATTACATTGCCGATTCAATGTTCCACTTTTTAAGGTTGGGAGTCAAATTCTATGATTATTATGTGGGTTATTTTGCACATTTTAATTGTGTGTTGTGTCATGACATGATGAGCGAAATTGATTCCTAAATTTGTCCAAATGAGTCTATGCAAGACTTCCAGTGTGAATATCCTACCCAGAATTTTTTTATCGCATCAACACTGACCATAGTTTACTATGTCACTCGATCAGATCATACTGTATAATTCAGACTGGCAACTCCCTCAACTTCCCAAGATGGTCTCTAAAAACTGTGATATACCCTGACCTGTTCACAAATGAAACATCTCTGTAACTTAAGCAGAGGTAAACTAAAACTCTGGACCTGTCTGTACAGATTCTTGAAAATGTATCTAATTGACACCCATATCAAATTCTGACTTCAGGTACTTTTTCTTCTTGTCATGATTTGTGTTATGTTTTTAAAAACACTGCAACATGAAATGACTGACATCACGTAGACGAAAACAAATGATTGTGATTCCTATCTTATTCACTGTTTTTAATGCTTCATTAAATTTCCGTGAAGTAATATATGAACATACAATGATACATGTTGAGTTCAATCAAATAAAACCTCTTTTTCTGCTTTCCTTTCTTATTCTGTACAGTAGACTGTAGCAGTCCTCTGTTTTGACTGGGAATCAATCTCCATAGCCCGTGTGTTTCCTCCTGCCCTTTCCAATTCTGATTATTGATTGCAAATTCTATAATCGATATAATCGGTTCTAACGGTAATCAAAATAAAATTATATAAATGTCTTCCATGTAAAGTATGTTTTAAAAGTCATATATATATTAATATTGTTAGGCCAAATTAAAATGTAGCTGTGTTTCCCATTTCCTGACCGACCCTTATTTTTTCATGCCGACCCTAATACATTCTATTGGGTTTTTTTGGTCACAATTAAGTGTTATGCATTTATTGGCTGTTTAATTGTTCAAAATGTACATAAAATTTGCTATGCATTTTATTAGCCTTAAATGACTTGTGGTCAGTGTCAGAGTTTTGTTTGAAGATAGTAGCTAAGTAGCCGTAGATAATTGTGGTTATGATATAGGTTGGGATCTGTAGATTAGTGTGACCATTTATTACAATTTTAACCCTTTCACCACTGTAGACCATAATGGACTCATTCAGATAAATGTATGGTAGAGTCTACTAAAGTTACCTATAGGGGTAAAAGGGTTAATGTAGCATGATTTTGCTAAGGGATAGATAGAAAGTAAGGCAGTTCAGCTTAGGATTCAAAGGAGAGTGTTGGGTTGTAGGGCTGTAACGATACACTGCGGTGCATCGAAAACCGCACTGAATTGCTTCGGTTCGGTGTACTATATGTTTTTTCCATGTTTCAGTTTTTTAGTATTACCTATAACTTCCAATTTTAAACCATACATGTGTAACGTAAAATTTGATTGGCTCGTATGATAAAAGCTCTGCAATAGTTGTTGCTGTTACAAAACTTTACATAAACAAGCATGCAACCTGGCGGAGCTTCAATTACAAAAAAAACTCACACTTCCTTTCGCTCGCCTGTTTGGCAGCATTTTGGATTCCAGCTAAATGTCCCCGATGGAAAATCACTCTCCACTTGCCGTAGTTTCGTAGATTTAAGTTACAAGTCAGGGAACACATCAAACATGGCGACGCATTTGAAGAGGAAGCATAACATTTTGTCATCCTGTATCGTATCAAAATGTATCGTATCGCAGGTAGATATCGTGATACGTATCGTATCGTGGCATAGGTGTATCGTTACAGCCCTATTGGGTTGGGGAGTTGTGTAAGAAGTCTTGAGGATGGAGGTTGAGTTGTGGAGATCGAGTTGAAAGGTCTAAGGGACTTGTATATATTTTATGGCGGATTGAAAAAACTTGTGTTGTAAATATTAGTGTACACATAAATTTAACACTCAACAATTTAGGAGTGGGACGACTGGTTCGCCCGTTGTCAGTACTATGTGACCGGGTCGGGTGTCCTGCTGGGTGCCTTCGGCAGTATGTTTCAGTGAGGTAGCACTATAAAGTCAGCATCAGTTCCACGCTATCTGTTGACACAAGGAGACAAACACGAACATATTGCAGCCTCCCAAAACACACACGCATACACTAGACGCATGCATCTTGCACAAATGGGAGGCTGTCCTTAAATTACCATAGCTGATGATAGGACGTTAAACAATACTAAACCAAACCCAACCAAACCAAAGTTGTTCAATTAATTTGCATTGGTAGAAATGGAAGTTGAGAACAGAAAGCATTAGTAAAACAACAGAGAACGTAACACTGGTGATCATCAATGGAGTTTGTATTACTAAAAACTAGTGTCCAGTAGTAGGGATCATTTAGAAATGTAACACTGTTGTCAGGACTACATTTAGGTGGGTCAACAAATAATTTCCTTCATTGTGTCGTTTAGGCCTGCTCAACACAAAAACTAAGAAAACAGGGATTTTTTTTATTTTTGTGTTTTACATGAATAAAACAATTTATAATTTGGTGTCATTCATACTTTATTAAAACAACAACATTTTTCTACCATTCACGTAGGAAATCCTACCTACCTGGAGTCGAAACAGGAAATACACATATATATATATTATTTATTTAGCCTTATGATTTTATATTACATGGTTAATAAAAATGCTTAACAGTTGCTTGATTTTCATTCATTATTACAGAACAAAACCTGCTGTATAGTGATCATGAACAACTCTGTCTATTGATGTAATAGTAGTGTTCTCACGTTGGTATTCAGTCCGAAAAAATTATAAAAAATTTATAAACCGTTTATGCAATTGATCATCGATCGGTTTACTACTTCTGATTACAAATCAATGGATTGCCCATCACTATATACTTCTTGATCATGAACCCAAGTCAAAGTATTGGACGATAGAAAATCTAGCACGCAACCTTTTTGGGAGGAGGGGAAGTATATGCTGCCTCCAGCCACTGTACCATTACCCTCAATATGAAGAAAAAAATACAGTACAGATGTAGCTTCTTCTTGTTACAATTCCATATTTTCCTAGAATTTTCTTAGATTTAGACACAATCATGCATCAGAAGGATATTAGTTGATTTTAAGTACGTCAGTTTTGTATGCAATAGGTGTACATGTGTACTGTTTCGCCCTGTAGGTTCTCTTGTTATAAATAAAAAAACAATTGCTAGATTGCGTTTTCCTCATTCATGAAAGCGCTGCTATAAAATTCTGTGAAAAAAACACTTGATGACCTCTATTTGACCTTTGACCTTAGTACCCAAATACAGGTTTCATTGGGTCATCTGGGTTTTCTCTTGTAACTTTGGTTTCCTCCCGCATTCTGCGGGGTTCCGTCAGAGGGAAGAAGATTGATTGACATAAGTTTCATACTTGCCAACTCTCCCTATTTTGGAGTGAGACTCCCGATTTTCAAGCATTTTAAACCAGTGAATTAGCTTAACTGCTACAATTTTCTGAGATCTGATTATTTCATCTGAAAGAACAGCTCAAAAGATGCCTTTTGAACGTGTTATTTTATATTTTACATATTTCATTTATGATTTTAATTCTGAGCACTTGCAATCTCCCCCATAGAAGTTTCGAAAAATTGGCAAGTATATTAAGTTTGAAAAGTTTCCAAGCTTTACGCCTCAGAATTAAAAAGCCTGTTTGGTTTACGGAGAAACACAGTTTTGGCATACTGTTTCTATGAAATTTTATAGGTGCAGTCATATGTGTGTGTGTTATAAGTTCATCTTTCTAAACTGTGTCGTTTGTTTCTGTTGACCTAGGCTGGAGTCCTGTGTAGTTGGGTCAGGATGTCCGATGCTAACATAATGGCCGAATCTTACGCTGATGGTGCCATCAACCTGAGCAGCACAGACTCCGGCCAGTCTGCCAACGACGAGGACAACAAACCTAGTTGTCATTTCTGTGGCAAAAAGTTTGCACAGTCCAGTTACATCAAGGCCCATATGAGACTACACACTGGAGAGAAGCCATTCGCGTGCTCCTTCTGTCCCAAACGCTTCAGCGACTGCAGCAATTGGAAGAAACATGAGAGAATTCACATCAGACAGATGGGCATCAATCCCGACAAAGCGCACAACATGACAAAACACTCCATGTTTCTTGTCCAATCATCATACTCTTCACCTAAATTGAAAAACGATTTGGGATCACCAGAATACGTCTGCAAAATTTGCGGAAAGTCATTTGCCAATGCCAGTAGTTTGACTACACACAAGAGAATACACAGTGGGGACCGTCCGTACCGATGTCAGACGTGTGGCAAGTCGTTCACACAGATTGGGACCCTTCGCACCCATGAGCGTGTGCACACAGGCGAGAAGCCATACATTTGTAAAATCTGCGGCCAGACTTTTGCCCAGAGCGGAAGTTTTCGTATGCACGAGAGACGACATATGATGGAGATGCTTCACAAATGCCCGGTTTGTCCAGTCAAGTTCCAGCATTGGGAGGATGCGAAGCAGCACCTAGCAACCCATCCAGAGATCATCGCTCGCCATCCTGAAATTGTTGAGTCGAATGGTTTCTTAGAGAACGACTTGGCAAAAGCTCTCAAGACTGAAGAAAATCTACAGCAGTTCCACCAAGCCCTTGCCGCCCAAGTGTCAGATGAAACCCTCCCACCGATAGAAACGTTTACGAGCCGCCCGGATCACCTTCCTCACAGTTTCCCTTTTCCTGCTGGAATACCGCCCCTTGTGTCTGCCAATGCCCTTCACTTTCCTGGGATATCTGTGAGTGCTGCAGACATCACTAACCCTGTCAATGTGTTTTCTTCAGCCATCATGCGGGCAGACGCCATGCACATACCGACCCGTCAACTACTGGAAGACTACGCCTTGCCAACTTCTACTGCTATCACTGTGCCATATACCGAACCGCTGCCCGTCATCATTCAGGACGGTAACGACACTGCCATCGTCAGCACCACAACTGCTCGTGACCGGAAGTACAGTTCAGATTCTCACACTTCCCGGTCCGTCTCCACACCAGATCCTGGTTGTGACACGGGCAACTGCCGTAGCGAGAGCGAGAAGAACGGCAATTTCCTGGAAAACATTACTGCCGATACAGCTGGTGGGAAGACCGGATCAGAAGACTCGAGTTTGACAAGCGACCATTCAGACAGCGCCCAAAATGAGGAAAACATGGGCATTAGTCGACAGAATCTTCACTCGCGCATGATCTCCACGACTAACTCGCGGAAACAACGCCATCCGATGCGTCGCTATAGCGGCAGCAGCTCTATGGCCCCAGACACGTCCACCCAGCCGACCACCAATCTGGTGGAGACCAGCTCCAACAACTCGGACACCATCCGAGAAGAGGACATATCTGATGACTTGGTGGGAGGCAAGTTCTATCGATGTGAACACTGCCACATCCTGTTCGAAGATTGCACCCTGTATCTGCTTCATAATGGCTTCCACTCTCACGACTCCGATCCATTCAAGTGTGTCATCTGTAAATCGTCCTGCCGTGACCGCATAGAGTTTAACTGCCATTTGACCAGCCATATAAAGTAAGTAACTGACTACTTTTTTAGAATCAGAAATGTATTTATAGCCTTCAGGTTTCCCGTAACAATGCCAGGAAATGTAACTATACATGTTAAATTGATTTCTTTTGGAATGGCTATTGCTTTGATATATTATTTCTAAAAGAAATACGTACCTTGTGAGACATAAAATGAAGCAAACGAAATGTCTGCAACAACAGTGTTCTGAGTGTAAAACAAATGAAGTGGGGCTAGACCAGGCAGGGTTTGTACCCTGGACTGCAGTATGTTATACTATAGCTCTGACCGACTGACCAGCTGACCAGTATGGTACCGGCTAGACCAGGGTACGAACCCTGGATTTCAGTATGTTATACTATAGCTCTGACCGACTGACCGGCTGACCAGTATGGTACCGGCTAGACCAGGGTTCTTACCCTGGACTGCAGTATGTTATACTATAGCTCTGACCGACTGACCAGCTGACCAGTATGGTACCGGCTAGACCAGGGGACGAACCCTGGACTTCAGTATGTTATACTATAGCTCTGACCGACTGACCGGCTGACCAGTATGGTACCGCCTAGACCAGGGTACGAACCCTGGACTTCAGTATGTTATACTATTGCTCTGACCGACTGACCGGCTGACCGGTTTGGTACCGGCCAGACCAGGGTTCGGACCCTGCAGTGGATAGCACACTTGCCTTTCACCAAGGCAGCCAGGGTTTGATTCCCCGATCAGACATGAAAAGGTAGGGGTCACCTGCCCGACCATGTCAGGTTTTTTCGGGCACTCCGGTTTCCTCCCACACTAAGACCCCCCCCCCCAACCCACCCACCCATGCGCTAACATCAGGGACAACAAGAGTGATTAATATAAGTTGACATAACTTGTTTCATAATTGTTATAAAATAAATAAAGTTTATATATATTTTTTTTATTGCTCTGACCGACTGAACTTTCTGGTCAACAGATAATAACAGTTAACTCCCAACATAAGTTTAGGAGAGGGTTACTGTATATATACAAAAAAAACACAGTGCAGTGGGACAGCTGGGATCCCTAAGCACTTTTTGCTGAACTTTTTTTTTCTAAATAATAAATATAAACTTTATTCATTTTACAACAATTATGAAACAAGTTTTAACTGTTATTACCTGGTAATCACTCTTTTTGGCTCGGATTTTAGCACAAGGGGGGGTCTTAGTGTGGGAGGAAACCAGAGTACCCGGAGAAAACCCACGTGGTCGGGCAGGTGACCCCTACCTTTTCACGTCCGATCTGGGAGTTAAACTGACCACCCTTTTTTTCTAACCAAAATGCAATTAAGCAATTTATTTCGCAGATCAGTAGAGAGCATCCTAGTTTACTGTTACATTTCATACCTATGGTACTAGCCCAGGAGCCGATCATAAAAAAAAACTCGCTTTAAACTCATATTTTCATGATATTGAATTTTCACTAGCTCCAGTCTTACCACTTATATACCATGGATAATAAGTCAGTGTGGTACTTTAGACCACTTACTAAACATTTTGAAGGCCAGACTTTGCCCAGTACAATTGTACAAGTCTGCATTAAGTGCTTGATAACGTGAAACCAAATAAATATTTGTAACAAGAAAAACAATCTTACACAACACTTTTTTAAACACTTGTAGAATAATCATTGAACCATTGATATATCATAGGAAATAGAGTTAGTCTATGATGTGTTTCCCATTGACGGGGCTTTTTTGTGTAAATTGGGAAAGGGCCCCTACGCTTATAGTTTGGAAATTTTATTAGCAATAGCATGTTAAAACATGATTTACATTATCTTCATACAGCACTTCAGTCCAATATTTCACTTTTAAGAAATGTTTCTCATCAAGAAAAGAAGAAGTTTATCCATTTACTTGAAACTTTTCTTGGTTGGGAAAAACTAGAAATTAAAAAAAAAATATGCCTATTTTCCATCATAGATGGGCATTCTATCGGCTCCTGAGACACCATAGAAAAAGCACTGATTGACCTCTAGTGGGTTTCATGGTGATTGTGTATGGGTCTGCCATAAAGTTCAAACACTGAATTTTCCAGACTGCTAGACTTATCAGTGAATCAAATATCCATATATATGTATCATAGGAAATATCTCCAGAGACAACTTGGTATTGTAAGTGATTCCCATTGACCTATAGTGTTTTTCTTGGTGATCGTCTATGGGTCTGCCATAAAGTTTGATCACTGAATTATTATGTCTCTGGACAAAATGCTGAATTATTATGCCTAGGGACCAAACACACTAATAGAATAATTTATCCCTTTGTTGGGTAAGATAGGGGAAACTCAACAAGAGAGGAGGAGATTTTGAAGTTAAGCCTCGGGTTTGACAACTTAAGAATCTCTCCAAGAGGGTTGAGATTCCCCTATCTTACCCCCAAGGGGGTGAATGATTCTTTTTCTCTTACCCTGTTCTCCAATTGTGTATCAAATACACAATGTAATGATAATGTTACAGGCTAAATTCAGGGTAAGAGTGACGTTAATGGAGTGTTGACGTGACGTCGTTGTATTGTTGACGTGACGTCATACCATTGTGTTATGAATAGGGGAATCCCCTTGTCCCAACCCTAAGGCGAGACGAGGATTTCTCCCACCCTTCACAGGTGTGTCTCCCGTTTTTGCCGGGAAAGATCAGCTTGTCACCCCCTAGGGGTAGATAGCCTCGTGCCGATTAGCACATGTTTAATTGTGACATCATTAAAATGTGTCGCCGGTAATTGTGACGTCATCAAAAGTGAATGACGATATTCATACCAGACCCACATGTGTTTTTGTTTACAAACATGGTAGACGGTGGAGTTGTAACTGAAATAATAGCTTTGGAGAAAAATACTCATCCCCTACCTTGAGGGTGTAACAGAGAAATCTCCAACCCTCGGGGTGATATTTTGGTTTGACAAACAAAAAATATCATTCTCGCAATCAGGTTGGATATTTTTTTGTCACACCCTCAAGGTAGGGGAAAATTCTATTCATCTCACACCAGTAAAAATGTGGATACACCTGTCCAGGGTAAGAGATTACTATTTCTCTTACCCTGGACAGGTGTATCCGCACTTTTACCGGTGTGAGATTTCCTTGTCTCACCCTAGGGGTGAGACGGGGGGATTCCCCTATTCATAACAATGGTCTGACGTCACTTCAACAATACAATGACATCACATCAACAATCCACCAACGTCATTTCAACCCTGAATTTAGCATGTAACGTTATCATTACATTGTGTATATGATACACATTGGGAGAACAGGGTAAGAGAAAAAGAATCATTCACCCCCTTGTGGGTAAGATTGGGGAATGATTCTTAAGTTGCCAAACATAAGAATCTTCCCCCTCGGGTTGACATTCCCCTATCTCACCCCCAAGAGGTTGAAAGATTCTATTAAGTCTTTCGACTGATCACTTTATAACTATATCTATGGACCAAACACTGAATTACTACTGTGTTGCCTTGTTTTCCAGGTTATCATCCTAATATGGTTGACCGGTCTCTGATCTACTGCTGTCAAGTAGGTGCTGTTTACTGTGGATATATTTGCAGTTGTGTTTTACAGGCTTGCCAATGATGTGTCGGAGTTATCGCTCTCCCGAGAAGTCCTCAAGAGGTATTAGTTTTATACAGACGATTGTATATCCGCACCTGATCCTGGTATAGCGTTACGAACAAATAGAAACATACCACACGGGAAGGTTAGAGGTTTTCATACTTTTTGTATGAGTTATGTGTGTTCGAAGATCAAAAAATGAAAAAAAATCATCAAAAGGAAATTTAAAAAAATAAAAAAAATACAATTATTGAATTTATGATAAAGTGAGAAAACAAATTGCAAATATTTCCAAATATATCAGTGTAAAGTTGTATTTTTCATTCCAAAAAATATACATTATATAAATGAAAAACTATAAATAAGATGAACACCGTGTAGTTGTATATCCTATTCATTGTTTATTAAAGAAGAAGCATTTAAAATGCTGATTATATTATTATAGATTAGTTGTCTCAGTATACTTCCGATATTAACAGAGGTTCGAGTGTAACAATTACAGATAGTGGTGTGTAACCTAACGTTCTGAACTTGTAAGAGTTACCTCCCATCGTTTACTATATTTTAGCCTTTGCAGTCTAGATTGCAAAGGATCGAATGGCTGGTATTGGTGAATTGTCATATCTCTGTGATGAAGGATGTATTTAGTTTTTATGAAATGACCAAAGCAATTTATAAAATATATAGCTATAAAATTATTCAAAATGGCTCTATATTTTTATACAAATAGCATTCTTTAATTTTTCATATACATGTCTCAATACATTCAACACTATCAATAATGGCTACTCCCTCCTAAAATAGATATGGTTTAAAATATTTTATCAAACATTTTATCAATATATTCGTAAGAGCATTTTTGAATATCATTCAAATAATTATATACACCATAAAGAGGAACGCAACGCTTTTATGCAATTTATTTCATCGTTCCCAACTTTTACAGTGATATATAAATTTTCCAATATTCATGTGAAATAATACCAAACTTTACAATTTAGCCTATGACAAGGGCATGACGTTGGTAGCTGTCTTTTTAAGTGTGGAGTTTCTTTTATAAAAAAAATCTTAGTTTTTCAAACAAATTTAAGAGATCAGTTTTAAGTTGTCAAAAAATCCAATGTTTGTTGAATTTCTACATTTTAGTGATTTTATCAATTAAATTTATCAATAAAAACAAACATGACGATTGTTTCTTTATATGATAATACATTTTCATTTGCCAAATATTGATCTACATATTTTGTACCCTTTTTTACGGCAATAGCATTGATAATTTTATTTTCCTTAAAACCAAAAACCAGTTTTCAAATCCAAAATGCCTTTATTGGTGAAGCATATAATTTAAAAAAGATTCTGTCAAAATGATTTTACATTTTGTATATCTGCTAGTTTCGCCTCGGTCTTTATTAGTTCTAATTGTTGACATTTCAAAACTGTATATGACAAATGGATCTATTCTGAGTGTTTCATCTAAATTCTGAAATGTATGCTATCATGAATCATTAAAAATATATATATATGTCTATAATGATATATATATTTATATATTCATAAATATATATATGATTTAGTGGACGAAAGAGTTGTAATGAAAATAGATATTGTATATAAACGTGTATATTGGGCAATTTTTCATCACCACATGAAATGACATAAATTTACAAAGAGATTGAAATGGATGTATTTTGGCTTAGTATGTACATGATAGTAGTTTAGCTACGTGTTGTTGACCGTTCGTCTTACGATAAAATTGCCATTGGTATTGTCCTAGTAAACGTATATATAAATATATATATATATTATAGTTATTTAGGTGCTTTTTGACTTCATGTTATTATATCAACTATTACTATGACTACGTATAGTGATTCATTGTAATAGTTTTAATTGTCGGATGATCGTAGATATTTTTTCTTGAAATTGATAAAAAAAATGTATTATATTTGCCTCAGTTATATGAACTATATACATAGGTGCTTGATTCGTTGTTGTGTTTACGTATTAAGTATTTGAAATACAATTATATGTATATCAACCTTATTAGTGCTGTTCATTTATTGTTGGTTGTTTGTTACTAAGTAGATAAAATACAAAGTATTTCTATTCGATATTTGCTATTGTTTACAAGGCACACCCATATTCGATACTTGTGACTCTACCATGATATTTTCAGTATTTGTTTAGCATTGCATACATGATTATAATTATTATATATATATATATTTAGCTGAGATATGTCAACCATTGCCTGCCTGTCTTATTGTATTGACCATGTATTGATCTTTTTTTTTGAAAAACTCGTTCACCCCCCCAAGACACATTTGAACTCTTCCAATTCAAAGGTTGGAATAGTTCATTACGAAATTTCAGGGGTGAACGAGTTAAATGCTGTAACAGTAGAATGGCTGTATTTATAATTTGTATACATTATTTTGTTTTAAATGAGTTCTTTTGATCAGGCATCAAAACTTGGTTGTATTTTGTATTTCTCTATATGTTTTTAATTAGGTGACTGTAGTTCACCTACATTCCGTTAAAGTGATCTATGATTAACGAACAGGCTTCAAAAATTTCAAAATTTTGTCATAAAAATAGGCTTTCTACATCATTATTCATGAGTAATGTCCAAATACATTATTATAAATTATATATATATATAAAAAACACACACAATAAGATGGAAATTGAATCACTAAAATTTCAAAATTTTGTAAAACAAATTGCTTTTTTTATTAAGAAAAATAAATTTGATAAGTAGATTACAGCACCAATTTTTGAATATGAAATTTAAAACTTGAAATTATTCTGTAACCTTCAAAAATTTTTTTTTAGGAAATATGAGGGTTTTTTTTAAATTTAAAATTTTGAGTTTTAAATTAAACTTTTGATGAAGAATTTAGTTAATAAACTCAGTCAAATTATATACGCTCGTGACAACTGGGTCCTGTACGTAACGTTTGAAGTTTTGTTTTAGGGGCACAATCAGTCTTGTTCTCCCGTCAAATTTTACATATAAACAAAACATTTTTTTTCACACAGAGCTCTTTATCAGTGATTGTGTTCAAACTGCTTACTGGTCAGTCATCAGGTTTTTTAGAACTTGTTTTTTACAGTGATTTCTGAAGTCTGAATTTTTAAATATCAGAAACTGCTTTATGTTTTTGTGATTTACCTACTGAAAATGACTAAGATATTCTTTAGTGTCGAAATCATGACAGGCTCTTTTTTCAATGGACATTTACGTTATAGATCTGATCAAAGCATACAGGTATATATATTTTTGTGAAACCGACAGTGATTTTGTTAGTTTCATTTTTTTCTAATATTAATTCATGAAATTGGATGATTTCGAAAGCTCCCGCCTAAATAGCTGCTATTTCAGTTAAGTGTTGGAACTCAGTGGTATTTGTGATAATAATCGTCACAGAAAACCAGACACCTTTCACATGCTCGCTCATCAAAAGCCTATATTTACAGGGTTTGATACTAACACTGGTCCACTAGTCCAAGACTAGTAGACTTTAGCAAAAAACTAGTGAATCACCTAACCAAACTCCTTTGTACCTGTATAAAAAAAAAACACAATATCATGTGAGAGATGTATTATATAATAAAGATATATTCCTTTTGGAAAACTGCTTAAAATACAGATATATATTGCATGACAATTGTTAAAACTTTCCTGAAATTTGACCACATCTTTATGGCAGTAGTGTTTTTCTGTACAGATTCTATTCCGTCTTTGCGTATTGCAGAGTTATCTTCTCTTGGGAGCAGGTATTGATTGTTACGTCATTGGTTTGTGCGAGAAAATTACGTCGTTTTCTCAAAAATTGATGACGTTACTCTCGCAAACAAGTGACGTAACAATCAATACCTGCTCCCAAGATAAGATAACTCTGCAATACGCAAAGACGGAATTAACGTTCTCTGTCGTTGTTTCAATAAGAAAATCTGGGACTCGTCACATTTACATGGGACTACCAAGCAAAAAAGTTTGTATCAAACCCTGTTGTATTGAAAAGCATCCTCATCCTCATCATCATGGTTAAGGTAAAGCGTTAACCCAGTCAAAAATGGTGTAATATGGTTATAAGATGGGTGTTTCAATGAAATATTGTGAATATTTGAAGACACTGGAGTTTTCGTTATTGTCCGTCTTGTTTTACACTGAATGAGCTAGGGAAATGCGTTACGTAATATGATGATTTTTTTGTAATTATTATGGCTTTGATAAAAAATCATTCTAAATTTTTGTTATTTTTCTGCACAAGTTATTATCTGCACACTTTTTTATAAGGCAGAGTTATATATATTTGTACTGTATTGAATTTGTTAAAAAAAACGTATATACCAACCAAAGTCACTTGCATTTCAAGTATTTCCTATTTGAATTTGAAATTCTCTTTCTGCCAGTTCAACAGAAATCTTACATGTTTGCAAATACCCTGTTTTCAATATAGAAATATTTGAGAATTCATTCGTATTTTGTAATGTTATAATTTGTTAGCATTGAATCTCCTATATACACTGGATTTTGTCTGCCATTAAATGACACAAAAGTTAAATTGATTAATTCAATGAGGCCGGGGTCTTGATGTCTGCCATCAAAGGATCAAAACTAATTAAAAAATATTTATTTCTAGATATCTATTGCATCTGTCAGATGTATCAAACAAGGTTAAACATTTATCATATTATATAGGTTTTTGAATACAATGTTATTTTGTGAAAAAAAATAATGAAATATTCAATATCATGCTGTAGGTTTGGACCTATAGAAATGTTGTTTTGTTGAACATTATTTAAATGAAATTTTCAGTGTCATGCTGTAGGTGTTTTTTTTCGTTGACAAATTCCATTTTGTAGTTTGTGCTTATATTTCTTCCTAAGCAATAAATTGCCATGCCTATGAAGTGCTATATATATATATATAAATTTGATGTTGTGCATCCCATTGTCAATAGGTCCATTGTGGTTTCCGTTCCTAGAACTTTTATATTAGTATGTGACACTGTTAAAATGTTAAAAGCATTTATTACACAAAGTGTAGATTTCCAGCAAGTTTAAAGTAGTTTTTACTTTCGTAGTAGTATGTCCCCGTTTTATAGAGGTAAACCGTAGATAAGAATGTAAAATGTAAATTTTCAAAATAAGTGAAATATTCCCATAGGATATCACCAGGTATGGCCATATTGCGAAACACTTAAAATTAATGCATTAACATCAAAGAAAAAAAATTACATTTCACATTTCACATTTTTTTTTTAGATAAGTTGGATCTTTTCACATGATTTCTTTTACTGCAAATCCTTCAACAGTTTTTAGTTGAAATTTTCAGCCAAACAGATTTGTTATTGTTATTGGGGTTTTTTTTGCTGTGTTACATATTTCCCTTTCTTCATGAATGAAATACCATGCAGCATTTCCTAAGTTTCTTTAGAAAACCCAGCACAGAGTTATACTAATTTATTTTTTTTCATTCCGTCATGAAGGGAAATTTTCATCATCTTTAGTGTATTTTGCATAAAAAAAGTAGTAATGTCATCTACTTAAGGTTTTTATAATGTTGGTTTTTCTACAAGTTCAGTCCACTTTCCAAGCAATATCTTTCATAACGTAAATCAATTTCGGGGCCCAGAAAACCTGATCAGCTTATCAAATTGTAACGCTTATTTTCAAAATAAAATTTCGCGGAAATATTTGAAATTTTTACAAATATTTTTGCATTATCTGTATCCGGGCCATTTTTTTTATCCATATTGATATATTACGAGTATTTATATTCAATATTTTTGAACATCTGTATATGATGAAAGTCTTGCGTTAAGTTTTCATTAAGCTAACCAGGCTTTAAGAAGCTGGGCTCCGGTGTTTCCATGAATGAGTTTTACGCCTTCAATTGCTGTTTGAAATAAATACAAATTAAAACGCAATAAGAATATAATTTCCTATCATATACTCATGCAATATTGATTTAAATTATGTGTCTGCCTTTTTTGGGGGAAACAATCACCATTGAATTGTTATTATTTTTGGGAATTTTTAAATATGGAAAAAATTTGTTGTGAGGGGGGGTTCTTGATCGTCTGGATTCTATTGTGAAAAGTGTTTGTTTAAGTGTTACTTAACTAAGCAATATCGATCAAACTTGACAGTCTCTCATCTCTTCTTTTATGATTCCTGTTCTATAGATATGTGACCATGCTTTTTGAAGAATGTCTCATACGTATACTTTGGTGCCATGTTTGTAATCTTCACACGCTTTTTAGGCTTTTTACATTACTTGTTGTTATATATACATTTTTTATTTTTGTTAGAAGGTGCTTTTATTGTTAATATTTTATTAGATCGGTCCATCTGTTTATTACGTACATTTTCATCTGGGAAAAAAAGTAAGGCTAGAGGTTGAGAAACTTGACATCTTAAACTTGCAAAACATATATAGATATAGATATATATATATAATCTTACGCATTTTATACATTGAATAAATATAAAACAAAGAATTTCAATTGAGCAAAAAGGCGGTGTAATTTAGATTACGAAATAGCCTATTGCTATATTTTGTTTTATAATATTCATCCAAAATATGTTACTGAAAAGAACCTTTTAGCTTGCACTTCATGTGACTATTGTTATCGATTTGTGCCATGATTGTCATTGGTGAGCTCTTCTTGATGGACCATATTGGTACATTTGAACCGGAACAGATTTTTTTTTCATGTAGTTGAAAGCATTTCTAATGTTTGATCAATTAGTTAAAATTGATACGATTACTTTTAAAATGAAAATTAGATTTAAAATTTTAAAATTAGATTTAAAATTTTAAAATTAGATTTAGAATTTTAAAATTAATTAAATTCTAATTTTAATTAATTAATTAATAAAGTTTTCATGCATTTAGATATGCAGAACAGGTATCTGTGCTATTAAAGGTAGTTAGCTGGGACCATATTTGTTAAGTAAACGTATTGTTGTATTTTTGTATATATAGCAGTACACCCAATGAAAAGTGCTATACATGTAGTGGTAAGGCAGGCTTTCAGTAAATCTTGAACAATATGAAGTATAATGCATGTCATACGTTCCGGGATGATTTTGTTATGTTTATACACTTTATTTTATTCCAAATATTGCGCTTGATTGATTAGCATCTATTGTCAATAATGTCACAAGGATTTTAAGGAACGTAGTGTCTCGTTAACGGGCATAATATAGATTATTTTTCTTGATCTCTCAATTACCGAATGATTTCTACTTTCGTGTTACAATGGGGTCTGTACTGTTAAATATCAAACTAGTCGGTATAGGTATAGGTATAGGTATCAAAATTAAATGTTTAAAAACAGATTATATTCACGTCATTATCGCGTTATAAGTTAAGTTAAAAAACAAAGTTCAGCTTTTCCGAAACATTTTACAACATAAAACTCTAAAATAAAATTACAAGGTCAAAGTTTATATAAATCAAGAAAAACCAAGATTTTAGTTTTTCCTCCGACTTTTATTACTCGGATTCAAATTTCTTGACGGAAAATCCTTCAACAATGGTTTTTATGACTGTGACCAAAATATCTTGAGAATTGTGGAACAGTACATTTCAATTCCCCCTTTTTTGTAA